GGTCTACCTAGCCCTTGAGGTCCCTTCCAATCCTGTCATTCTGTGATCAAGCGCTAATCTCACCAAGATGTTTAAAAGGGTCCAACTTAACACATTGCTAATGAGACCTCTCTTTCTCCTCCTTCTTGTCTCTCTCCCCTCCTTCTTTCCCTCCTTATTCCTTCTCCTTCTTCATTTGCTCTTCTCTTCATGGACCTGGGAACAGAGAAATGGTAGGTGGTCTCACCCTCCCGAGGCTAGGTTGGAGGGCTGAGCATCCCCCTAACCTGCAATAATCTGGTAAAACCACTACACTCCTATGTAGGGAGGACCCCTCAGGAATGATCAGAGGTGTACTGAAGGGATACATGATTCAGTCACCTCTCCTCAAGACCAAAGAATTGTGTGTCCCTTAGTTTATCCCTGACTGCTATCACTTTTTTTAAACATGTGCACATCCTTCTGTGTGCGATTTATTTCTCCTAAATAAATTGGCACTGCAGCCACAAGGTTGTGAGTTCAGTCACAGAGGGCTCCAGGTTTACTCAGCCTTCCATCCTTTCATAGGTTAGTAAAATGAGTACCCATTTTGTTGGGGGCAATTGGCTTACAGGTTGTAAACTGCTTTGAGAGTGCTGAGTTCACTATGAAGTGGTAGAGAGATGTAAATGCTATTACTTTTGCTCCTAAACCCCCTGTAAGCCTTGCAAATGTGTGCATTCTCACAGCGAAGTGTGCTGCTCTCTGCAAGGAGCCTTGGGCAAGCAAGATGGAAAAGCTTCTTTCGTGAACACCTCCAGATCCGACCTAATTCTTTTTACCCTTCCTCTTGCCCATAGTCCGCACGGTCAACTTAGCATCTCTTAGGATGATCAATGCCTTTTTGGCCTGTGTCCTCTCCACAAAAAGACCCCTCCTCATTCTTTTCTCCCCCTTCCCAGCCCTCTTTCCCTGCACCTTTAGTGCACAAGGGCATTTTCTTGCCAGAACTGCTGCGATACTGTTTGATCGATGGCAGGAGATTGATTACCATTACTGCAACGCTTTTGACTTTCAGCCACGACCTCCTCGCCTGCAGCCAGCCAAGGCTTTGCAGGAGGAATGGCCCCCTTCTCTTCCCCATAGCATTTCTTCCCACACACACACACACACACACACACACACTGCAGTCACAAAACACAACTACTAGAAATAAGGGTAGGGGAAAATAAAAGGAGCAGATGCACAGAGTTCAGATTTGGGCACAGAAGCTGAGAATGCAGCAATATTCACTTTATGTAAAACACTCAAGTAGGGATGGGGCTCTTTTCCTTTCCCACCAACTCCATGGCAAAGGGGCAGGATATTCTTTTGGGATCCCATCTCAACTAGATGCCCTTTGGGGGTCCCATCTAGACCACTACCACCATCCCGGAGCTGGGCAAGCTAGGAAAGGTGCCCAATGGAAATGCTTGAGAGTAGCAAGCTTTGAGTCTGGTATGTAGCTTGCGCCTGCTCCATCACCAGAGAAGCCGGGGGAGTTTTTTAAAAAGAAATTTGCTGACGCTGGACAAAAAAAAAAAGAGCATTATCACTTGGAAGGGGGGGGGAAGGGGGAGAGACTGCAACTGCTCCAGACTGATAATGTTAGAGACAACGATAGCAGCATCTTAATGACCATGGCTGGTCTGACAACTGGCCTTCTCTCCTCCCCATTGCCACACACAGCAGCCACAGGTTTCAAATCATCCCTTCTCCATAAATCCACTGCCCCCCCCCCAAAAAAAGCAAAAGTCTCATTTTACCTTCCCAAGTATGGGAGCGGGCCCCATTCTTCATGGGGAGCAAGGAATTTAGCTCAGGTTTGACTGTCTTTAAAAGAGAATATATCCAGGGGTAGCCATGGTGGCCATATAGCAAAGTACAGTAATATCCAACATCTACAAAGCAGTGATAACTTTGATTGGGCTCCAACCAAAAGGCACAAAATACATGTCGCAAGCTTTCAAAAGCTCAATAAACGTATCACAGCTTTGCGGGCTTTAGATGTTTTTGAAAGAGAATGCCAAATCCCAATTTCTATGTAGGATTGTGAAAGCTGAATGGCAAAGAAAGCCGACGGGGGGAAAGCAACTCATTTGAAATGTGGTGTTGGAGAAGAATTCTGTGGATACTACAAACTGCTAAAAAGAAAGACAAATGGGTATGTCTCAGACAAATCAAGCCTGAACTCTCACTAAAAGCCAAAATGGCTTAACTGAGGCTGTTGTACATGGGACACATCATGAGACGACGTGACTCATTGGAAAAGACAACAATGTTTGGTGAAATGGAAAGCAGTAGGAAAAGAGGGAGACCAGCCAGTAAAATATCCTAAAGGTGCCAGATAACATCTGATCTTGGAAATAAAGCAGGGTCAGTCCTGGTTAGTACTTGGATGGAAGACCACCAATGAAGACCAGCTTCTGTAAGGTTATAAGAGGATGGAGCTTGTAAAACCACCTCTGAGTATTCCTTGCCTAAGAAAACCCTATGAAATTCATGGGATCACCATTAGTGTACACATGCACACACACACTTGATGGATTGCCTCAAACCATGGCCCTGAGTTTGCAAGACCTGAGCAGGGATGTCGATGACCAAGAATCCTGGAACATTTTTGATGGAGAGTACATAATTTCTGTGCAAAAAGTAATATATTTTATAAAAAAACAAAAACAAAACACCCACATGCAAATTTCATACAGAATAAGTCCTTAACTGAAAAGATTCCCATCAACCCAGGTCTCTCCTCATCGGAGTTTCTCCACACTCCAGAAACTCAGACTTCCCACAGTGCAGACTTTGAACAAGTTACTTTTTTAAAACACAGCTCTCAGAACCCCCTATTTACCCCCCCTTGCTTGAGGATTCTGGGAGTTGTAATCCCTAAAAGTAATGCTTCCCAACTCTGTTAACACACACACAAGAGAAAGATTATTTCAGAAAGAAGACCAACTGAGTTACCTTTCTGGGATAGGGCTTGGAGGTATTGTTCTACAAGGTTTTGCAGAGGGATACCTGTTCAACTCCTTGGCCATTGACCTGTGGGGTCCCTCAGGGCATGGTCCTGTTCCCTATGCTTTTTAACATCTATATGAAACCGCTGGGAGAGATTGTCTGGAGTTTTGGAATAAGATGTCACCTGTATCGAGCTCTATCACTCCTTTCCACCTAATTCCAAGGAAGCTGTTTCTGTCCTAAACTGGTGTCTGGCTGCTGTAATGGACTGGATGAGGGCAAATGAATTGAAGCTTAATCCAGACAAGACAGAGTTGCTCCTGGTCAGTTGAAAGACAGTTCTGGGAATAGGGATTCAGCCTGTGTTAGATGGGGTAACACTCTCCCTGAAAACTCAGGTTCGTAGTTTGGGGGTACTTCTGGACTCAGCGCTGAGCCTGGAAGCCCAGCTATCAGCGGTGACCAGGAGTGCTTTTGCACAGCTAAAACTCATGCACCAACTGCACCCGTTCCTGGAGAAGTCAGACCTGGCCATGGTGGTACATGCCTTGGTTACATCCCGTCTGGATTACTGTAACGTGCTCTACATGGGGCTGCCTTTGAAAAGTGCTCAGAAACTTCAGCTGATCCAAAGAACTGCAGCCAGGCTGTTAACTGGAGCTGGTTACAGGGAGCATATAACTCCCTTGCTGCAAGAGCTCCATTGGCTGCCAGTCCATTTCTGGGCACAATTCAAATTGCTGGCTTTGACCTATAAAGCCCTATACAGCTTGGGTCCAGGCTATTTGAAGGACCATATCTCCCTGTATGAGCCCCCCAGAGTATTGAGATCATTGGGAGAGGCCCTTGCCTCTGTCCACTACTTTCTCAGGTGCATTTGGTGGGAACAAGAGAAAGGGCCTTCTCAGTAGCTGCTCCCAAGCTCTGGAACGCCCTCCCTAGGGAGGCCAGGATGGCTCCATCTTTGCTTTCTTTTCTATGACAGATAAAAACATTTTTATGTTGCCAAACCTTTGCATATTGATATGGGTGCTGTTTTGTTTTTGTTTGAAAGAGTTTTCAACTTTAAATTTTAATAACGTCATATTTCTAATTGTTTGAATTGTTTAATTGTTTTTTAAACTTTGTATTTTTAATGTTTTATACTGTTTAAACTTGGACTGTTTTAGATTTGTTAGGCACCTTGAGTCCCTGTACTGGGAGGAAGGCAGAATACAAATAAACAGAATAAATAAATAAATAAAATTGGATTTCCATAAGCTAAGACAAAAAATTCCTGAAGGGAGAGGCTTCCCAAATCTTAAGTGTTGTTGCTCTTAACTGCCTTTGAGTCAACCCCCAACTCACGGCGACCCTGAGGATGAGACAACTCTAAGTCCTACTGTGCCCTACTGCTCTGCTTAGGTCCTGTAAATTCATACCCATGCTCCCTTAATAGATCTATCTATCATGTGGCCTTCCTCTGTTTCTACATCCTTCCATCTTTCCTAGCATTATTGCCTTTTCCAATGAGTCTGTGCTTCCAGTGGCTAAACTCCGCATGCAGCCTTAAAGAGAAGGGAGGATCCACCTTAAAAACAGAGAAAGAAAAGGAGGCGTGAGAGAAAGCCCAGGGAAAGTGACAGGCCCAAGAAGTCCTTATCAGCAGCATATTTACTGCCTGAGGTTTGTTACCAATTAGAGGGATCAGGTGATTTCAAGGCTGCTGACCCAGACAACCAGGGTCAAGGTTAGAAGGGGGGAACTGCACTAGAAAAGGAGGAGCAGCAAGCTTCGCACAGAAACAATCCAATGTCTTCTACATAGAGTGCAGTGACCTCCTGTTTGTGCCCTATAGATACAACATTGAACTTTTCTTTCTCTCTTTCCCTCTTCCTTCATTTTCATCATTGTCTGTGTGATGGGTGCTTGCAAGTCCTTTCTCACTTATGGCGACCCTATCATGGGGTTTTCTTGGCAAGATTTGTTCAGAGGAGGTTTGCCATTGCCATCCTCTGAGCCTGGGAAAGCGTATTTTGTCCAAGGCCACCCAATGGGTTTCATAACCAAGCTGAGAACTGAACCCTGGTCTCCAGAGTTGTAATCTAATGCTCAAACCACTGCGCCATGCTGGCTTCTTAATGCTATTGCCATTCAAAGTTTCCTCTGGAGATCAGGAATTGAATGGCTTGGCCATGGAAACTCACTGGGAGATCTTGGGTGAGTCACACTCTCTCACACCTAGAGAAACCTGTGATAGGTTTGCTTTAGGATCATTGGATATCAGAAATGACTTGAAGGCACACAACAACAGTCAAGCAAAATGGCAAGCAAACAGGTTCATGAAAGAGGCATTAAAACATGCAAGATATGGAGTAACTAGAAAGTTCAGAATTTTCTGAAAATCCCAGCATTCTTCACCACTGGTTATGCTAACCAAGGATACTGGGAGTTACAGCCTAACCACTCCTGGAAGTCATACAATTACCAGCCCTGTCGTGGGTGCTATATAAGAGTTCTGAATACATTTTTCAAAGAACTGGAAAGATGAAGGTGTATTTCTGCTAATATTAGAAGCCAAACAGGGCCATGGGGAAGCTGATCCTTGAGAGAACCAAAGCCAAAATGGAAATCCTTCTTCACCCATTAAATAAAACTTCAGAACTTGTTACTACAAGAAGGAGTAGTTGGTGCTTCCTATGTCAATGGGGTGGTGAATCCACTCCAGGTTTTCACTAGGCTTTAAAGGGGTGATCCAAGAAACTGAACATTGGTAGTGTAAGCTTGTGTAGACTTGGTCAATGAATCTGAGGAAGTAGACCAAGTCTACGAAAGCTAATGCTACAACTTCTTTCATTCAGTTAATCTCAAAGGTGCTACAAGATCTCTTTGCATACAGGTAACCACATTACTTGTAACTAGTAACATCCAAGCATTGCCTGTGATACAACTGGAGGCAGAATGCCTACCTCTCTCTCGGACGAAATACGCCAAGTAGAGGTCAAGCTCCTTGACCGAGACACTGATGTGGTGTGGCTGGACGCAGAGGACTGGGTTGGTGCACTGTGGTGCCTTGACAAGACGCTCCCCATCTGTACTCTCCAGGGGGATCCCCTTGAAAAGGATGACCATAACCAGGTCCAGGCGCCAGACTTTGTCGGCTTGCCTCAGGCAGTCAATGCGACGCATCTTGCCCTTCTGGTCAGGGTTGGAGAGGACGCAGCATGAGGGCTTCTTCCCCGTGATGGAGAGGACAAAGTCTTCACGGTACTCAGGCCGAATGTCTTTGCGCAACTTGGCCAGCAAGCGCGAGGCCCATTTCTGCTTCACCTCGGGCTTCTCATTCAGGAGCTCATCTTTGACTGCTCGCTCCTCGTCCTTAGTCATCCGCTTCTCGTGTTTCTTGAAGTACTTCCGCTTCCGGGCCTGGAGGTTGAACCAGGTGTAGGCAAAGGCCCGGACGTGAGGGAGCAGTGCCTCAATGAAGGGATGGAATTCATCCTGAGGACAAAGAACCAAGGAGACAAAGACTGTCAACACCATAGAACCATAGAACTGGAAGAGACCACAAGGGTCTTCAAGTCCAACACTATTCTGCCATGCAGGAAGACACAATCAAAGCACTCCCAACATATGGCCATCCAGTGTCTGCCTAAAAACTTCCAAAGGAGACTCCACCACCCTCCAAGGCAGCATCTTCTAGGGTCAAACAGCTCTTACTATCAGGAAATTCTTCCTAATGTTTAGATGGAATGTCTTTTCCTTGGGAGAATGTCTTTTCCTTGGGATAAATGTACACCCTCCAACATCCAACCAGCAAACAGAAGGACATACATAAAGACCTGCACCCTCACCACCACCAAAAAACTACCCAGCTATTAAAACCAGCATCTCTGTCCCATCTTCAATCCAGCCAGGTACTTTACAAGAGTCTTCCTTTCCTCCCAAGAAGTACAGATACCTCCAGGACTTAAGTCCGGGCTATTGAAGGACCTTATCTGAAGGACCATCTCTCTTTCAATGACCCTTCTTCAAGCTCTAAGACAGTGATTGCCAAACTTTGGCCCTCCAGATGCTTTGGACATCACTTCCAGAATTCCTGAGTGTTGGCCAAGCTGGCTGAGACCTCTGGAAGTTGAAGTCCAAATCACCTGGAGGATCAAAGTTTGGGAATCACTGCTCTAAGATCTTCAGGAGAGACCATACTCTCTGTCCCTTTACTTTCTCAGGTTGCAATCCTGTACTACATCTGCCCAGAGGAGAAGAATGTGAAGTGGGTAGCGGTGGCTGTATGATTATGGCTAGATTATGGCTAAATTATGACTATAATATAGGCAGAACTGTAACCGCGACCATTTTAAACAGAAATGAAGCTTGTGAGAAAGACTGTGAGAGTGCCAAGACTTTGTAAATTATGTGTTAAAAATACATTTATTACCTTTAAGGTGATTTTTTAAAAAAGATTAACTATGATTTAGTACAGTTGGCCCTTGGTATTCACTGGGGTTTGGTTGCTAGACTCCTCATGGATACCAAAACCCGTGGATGCTCAAGTCCCATTAAATTCAGTCACATTGTAAAATGGTGTCCCTTATATAAAATGGCAAAATCAAAGATTGCTTTTTGAATATATATATAATTTACAAGCCATGGATGGTTGAATCTGTGGGTAAGGAATCTGTGGATATGGAAGGCTGACCATACAGGGCTGGGCAATCTGCCATCCTCCAGACCACAATTCCCATCAGCCACAGCAAGTGACGAGGCATCGTGAAAGCTGTAGTCCAACCACATCTGGAAGACCCAAGTTGCCCACCTCTGGTTTTGCAAGCCATTATTAAAATCATTAAACAACGTGAACAGGCAGAGCAAGTATTAAAGTCTTGGTTTAATTCATTATGGGGGGCCATGATAGAGTGGGTGAAGGGTTCCCCCAGTTTTCAGATCTTTTCCACATGACTCCAACTGTATGGTGAGATGGAGAAGGGAACTGAAGACCCAAATAGGACTTTAGAGTTCCACGTAGGCCTTGTTTCCCTTGCGTGTGAATGGAGGAACATAAAAATAGACATTTGGGAAGAAAGCCGGCTGGAGACTGGACCTCCCACTTACAGCTGCCGTTTGTTAAAAATCTGGTTCCCCTTAAGAGTAATTGAGTGTTCCCTACTTCCCACCCTACCCACCGCCGTTTACTGGAAATGGGTTTATTTCTGTGGCTTCGAGGAGCAACCAGAGGATGAGACTCTCCCTTTCCTTAACACACCAGAACCCACAAATTATTCAACCCGGTGCGGTGTAGGTTGAACAGTCCCAGCCTCTGAAAAGTGGGTTCGGGGGCTACCAGATTTTAGGGGCTACCAGATGTCAGGGTCCCCAGATTTTAGGGATTACCAGATTTCAGAGGCTACCACATTCCAAGGTTCTCAGATTTCAGAGGCTACCAGATTTTAGGGGTTACCAGATTTCAGGGTCCCCAGATTTTAGGGCAGGGGTAGGCAACCTTTCCCCTTTAAGGGCCGAGGGACTTCAGCTCCCAGAATCCCAGGAGCTATTGGCCAACATGAGACTATTGGCCAACATGGCTGAGGCTTCTGGGAGCTGAAGCCCCTTGGCCCTTAAAGGGAAAAGGTTGCCTACCCGTTTTAGGGGTTACCAGATTTCAGGGGCTACCAGATTTCGAAGTCTGGCCCTCAGACTCCAGCTTTTCAGGCAAGGGGGAAGACTCTTAGGGCAAGAGTTCTACCTTGAAAAATGTGTATGAATATACATTTTCCTCATTTGTTTGACTCACCATTTTTAATATGCATGACACACTTTGAGCAACAGTTGATGCTTAATATGTCATATTTAATTGCATCAACAGGGTCTATTCCCTGGGACAACATTTTTATTATCTAGTCCGGAAAGGAGAAGACTTCTGAAATTATTCATTCTTACCCCCAGGAATAAATTAAGTAAAAAGTTTTATTCCTATAATGGAGATAGACAATAGGAATGGAGAGAAAATTCAAAAATATTCCAAAAATGGTGGGAAAACATGGGTTGAAAAACTGATGAAAAGAATCCTGGACTGACGAAAACTTCGCAATTCGATACTTACTCTGCACAAAATTCACATGGGGTTGTTTTACACAAAAAAGAACATTTTCAACAGAAGAAAATCAAATTTCTACATAGTCTTATTATTTTTGTGCAGAAGGATCTGTACAGAAAGCACTGTTTTCCACACATAAGAGCTGCATGTGAATTTTGTGCACAACGAGTCCTGGATTATGAATATAATTTTGAAAGTGTGTGCTTTTCAAAGGCTTTTGTGCAGCAGGAAGAAAATTGCTTTCAGAAGAAAACTGGGAGCAAATTACTTCCCTAGTAGTTGCTTCATGTTAGGCCTGGTTTTAGTCAACTCAGCTTGTCTCCTGTGACATCACATTTTTGGTTTGGAACCTGGTATTAATTTGGGAACCCTACATAGGTACCAGCCATGATGGTTAGGGGATTATGGGAGTCACAGTCCAAAAAAGTATTCTTTCCAAACTCTGTATTCACAGTCAACTCAGCATCTCTTCTAAGGTCCAAACCACACTGCAGAAATCATCCAGTTTGAGACCACTTTAACTGCCTTGGCTCAGTGCTAAGGAATCCCAGGGGTTGTAGTTTATTGTGGCACCAGAGCTCTCTGACAAAGAAGGCTAAATGTCTCACAAAACTATAGTTCCTAGAATTCCCTAGCATTGAGCCAAGGCAGCTAAAGCGGTCTCAAATTGGATTATTTCTGCAGTGTGTTTTGGACCTCAGATGTATCTGCACTACAAAGTTATATCAATTTTGTTGCACTTTAATCATCATGGCCTAGCCCTACAGAAACCGGGAATTTGTAGCCCGTGGAAGAAATTCTCAGTAGACAGACTCTACAGCTCTGTAGGAGATAATTTTCTCACCCAACTGCAAATCCCAGGATTTCACAGGATGTAGCCAAGGCAATTAAAATGGCATGAAACTGACATTAACTGAGTAATGTGGCTGCGTCCCTTGAGAGGCAGCCGTAGGAAAATCAGCAGCAAAATCCTGGAGTCTTGCCAGATAATGGGGTAGGATGGCAATAAAAATCTTAAAATACTTGGTGGGGTGAGGAGGGA